CCATTTTATAATGCTTTGATAAGACCACACTTGGAATCCTGCATCCAGTTTTGGTCACCACGATGTAAAAAAGATGTTGAGACTCTGGAAAGAGTGCAAAGAAGAGCAACAAAGATGATTAGGAAACTGGAAGCTAAAAGATATGAAGAAAGGTTGCAGGAACTGGGTATGTCTAGTTTAATGAAAAGAAGGGTGACATGACAGCAATCTTCCAGTATTTGAAGGGCTGCCACAAAGAAGAGATGGTCAGTTCTATTCTCCAAAGCACTGAATGCAGGACAAGAAGAAAGGGATGGAAACTAATCAAACAGATAAGCAACCTAGAATGAAGTGACATTTCCTGAATGTGAGAACAATTAATCAGTGGAATGGCTTGCCTCCAAGAAGTTGTGGGTGCTTCATCACTGGAAGTTTTTAGGAAGAGATTGGACAACCATTTGTCTGAAATTGTATAGGGCCTCCTATTTGATCAGAGGATTAGACTAGAAGACCTCCAAGCCAAGGTTCCTTCCAACTCTATTTTTCTGTTATTCTGGAACCAAGGTGGCAAGGAAGCAGAGATGGGTCTTCTGTCACTCCTGTTAGCTTACCCCAGAAGCGCTCCCTCCTGCAAATATCCTTTCTGAATGTGCTTGCTAATGGACCAGACAAAACGGACGTGTTTGTGATGGGCTCTTCAGAATGCTTTGATTACAGAAATTATTCTGTTAATCTTTTCAAAGTGCTGCTCGCAAGGCAATACCATTTAGCATCCTGCAAAGAGAAACTAATCTCTATTTGTTTCTCAGCTGCGGCAGCTTTATGGCGTGTAATCTTCAACTCCCAGAATTTCCCAGACAGCCCCAGCAACCCCTGGGGAATTCTGGGAATTGCAGTCCACATATCTTAATTTGGCCAAGGTTGAGAAAGCCTGGGGTGGAGAGAGAAAGATTAACTCTCTTGCTGAAGATGTAGCTATTCACACCTGTAGGAAGCCCCCCCACCCCTGCCCCTCCTAGAAGAATAAAATATTTTAGGAACTATTAAAAAGGCAGGATGTTATATTTCCCTAGAGGGGAAATGGAGAAACATGTTTTTAGAGGCAGGAAGCAGCCCCCAAGTCTTTCTTAACAGCCCACAGCAGATGCCAGCACTTAAGAGAGTAAAGAGCTTATTGAAAGAGGAAGGCAAGTTTCTAGATGACTCTATTCACAAGCAAAGCAAATACTGCAGGCAGAAATCCATTCAAGACAGGATATTCCGAAACTCCTTGCAGCAGATCTAACAAAGGCAGAATGGCAGGATTAGAAAGCAGTCCAACACAAGGCCATTAGCCACAATAGAACACAAGGCCCACCACACCCAGAACAGCTCCAACTTCAAAGTCACAGCAATCTATAAAAATCCGTCTTCCGGGGAGTGGCCTGTCGCCAGTCGGCAGCTTAACAGAGCTGCCCCCAGAATTCAGGATCGTTATCTACTNGATTAGTTTCCACCCATTGCTTCTTGTTCTACCCTCAGGTGCCTTGGAGAATAGTTTGACTCCCTCTTCTTTGTGGCAAACCCTGAGATATTGGACTACTGTAAGATGCCATGTTAAAGATGGGGCTCCCACTAATCTATGGCTCCACCAAGATACATGATGCCCAAGAGATCAGGATGCAGCTCCAAAGGTTTCTGGAGGAAATTGATGGCCTTCTCTCATCTCAATCAGTTTTGAGAACAGGATTCAGTACAAGGATAACAACCTTCACAAAGGCTTTAAAGATCTAGCTCTTCTGGTAGGCACCAAGCCAGGAGAATTTACTAAAATGTCGAACATCGAGTTTTTCCACAGAGTGATTGTTTTACTACAGTGGTTTTACTAAATATTGTTTTACTAAGTGGTTGTTCTGTTTTGATCTTTTAACCCTCTGGTAAGCCACCCAAAAATCACTCAGGGAGTGGAAAGCCTTAAAACTGAATAAATCATCATAATAAAATAAGTCAAAAGATTCATAAGATGATAGGTGGGGAAACAGACAGAGGAAGCTGGACAGTAGAATGGAATGAGACTTGAATTAAAGCTGAATGAAAGGAGCTTCGGGACAGTTCTTCAGGGTGACCCAGACTTATTTCCTTCAAGCTTTCCTTGTCAGTGTGGGAAATCATGGGGTGGGTGGGTGGGTGGGTGTGTAAGAAAGAGAGAGAGGGAGAGAGAGAGTCCCTGCACACACAAGGTATGGCTAATATCTAGAAAGAGATCCCCTAAAAGTGCAGAAAAGAGCAGTAAAGATCATTAGGAGACTGGAGGCTAAAACATATGAAGAACGCTTGCAGGAACTAGGTATGTCTAGTCTAGTGAAGAGGAGAACTTTTCACTAGACTAGACATGATAGCAGTGTTCCAATAGTTGAGGGCCTGCCCTAAAGAAGAGGGGGTCAACCTATTCTCCAAAACACCTAAAAGCAAGTCATGAAAAATGGATGGAAACTAATCAAGGAGAGAAGCAATCTAGAACTGAGGAGACATTTCTTGACAGTGAGAAAATTTACCCAGGGGAGCAGCTTTTCTCCAGAAATTGTGGGTGCTCCATCACTGGAGGTTTTCAAAAAGAGACTGGATAACCATTTGTCTGCAATGATAAAGGTGTCCTACCTGAGCAGATGGTTGGACTAGAAGACCTCCAAAGTCCCCCCCAACTCTGTTATTCTGTTACTCTCTGACACCAGCCATGCTGGGTGAGACTTCTGGTTGCTCTCAAGCTCACACAATTCAAGGGCATCCAACCAGTCAAAAACAAAAAAATTCTTCCATTTGACAAAAAAAATCCACTGATTTCCCCTGTTCCATTCTGCCCTACTGCTCTTGGCAATCCTACCTCCCCTTCTGCTTATCTCCCCCATTGCTATTCTGAGACTGCTCTAAGGAGCAATTCAATTGCTTTGGCCTTTTGGAACATATGGGTTATTTTTAATTATTATTTGAAATGATTACAGATTGACCTTCCCTTTTCAACCCCCCACCCTTTCCCTCTGTTGCTTGGCAAGAGGCAGTGCTGAGAAGAGGACAGAAAAGCAATAATTTAGCAGTTATTTTGCCCCCCCTCCACTCTCTGCAACTCTATCCTATCTTGCCTCCAGCTGCTAAGGGAAAAACTTGAGTTGAGGAAGGCATTTGTGCTTAATTACTCAACAGTTTTTTAGATCTTAGGGGACAACGCAAAACAGTTATGTGGGCATCAAAGACAAGGCTCCTTCTAACCCAGTAGGGAAGAGATAATAGAATCTGGTTGGGAGGGATCCATTGGAACAATGGAGTCCATACCCAGTGCAGAAATCCAAATTAAAAGCATCTCTGACAGCAGATGACTGTCTAACCCAGCGTTGTTCAACCTTGGCAAGTTTTTGCCACAGCATTATTTCATACTCAGTGGTAACTGAATGGTCACACAATTCTTTCTCCTTCTTGGCTTTCAAAGTACCTGAGATAAAGGGGCAGCTAGTAATTAACTTCCGGGAACGCCAGTAATGGTCCTGGCCCCTGTCGCTGCAAAGCGCCCTTGCTGGCGCGTCGCAGCTTGCTCACTCACTCCCCCACCCGTCCACACTAAGCCAGCCCAGCCTGCCAATCAGTGAGCGGGCTGGAGGCGAAGCGTTTAAAAGCTTCGTGCTTGACCTCCATTTGAAAATTCCCTTCACCTTCCAGGAGCTTGCTGCTTCCCCCTCAGGTAAGCAACTAAGCCCCAGCAATTCAATTTTTTGTCAATTTTAATAGATTTGTATTGCGCCCAATCCCGGAGGACTCGGGAGGCTTTGGGTGGGTGGCAGCGGCCCAGCTTTCGTGAGG